TGACCCCAAATAGCTGGGTAAGTCCAAATGGCAGGGAAGATTTCCAGACTTTGCCTCATGAGGGAGCCAGGTAAAAGGGCAAATCTTTTTTCTCACTCCCCTGCCCTTTGGAATGCTCACCCAGCACTGAGATCATTAGCAAGAAGAGAATTGATGTTTGTATTTACATTCATTGGAGAAGGAGGGATTACAAGAGAGTAAGCAGGCACACAGTGGGGAATACACCTTGAAAGCCATGCACTAGTGCTGCCTGTTTGCCTAATGCGCTGGTGGCTGGAGCCAGGAGCTGCTTAGGAGGCAAACAAAAGCCTTTAGTGTGAAACTGATTAGTGTCTTGTCAATTTCAGGCGGCTGTTGAGCTGGCTAATTAAGGTCACTGCTGAACTTGTTAACTTGTAGTTAGCATATTTTAGGGTAGCTGGGCAGAAAAGCAACTCAGGAAGAGATTGTTTAGGCCAGTGTTGTCCAAACTTGGCCACTTTAAGATGAGTGGACTTCAACTCCCAGAATTCCCCAGCCAGCATGGTTTAGGCAGTCTCTCTGCTCTGCAGGATGGGGCAGGAGAAATGGCAAGCGCCCAGTATTTTCAGTGGTAATATGCAACATAGTTTTTTGTTGTTGTTAAAGAAAGGCCTCACAATATTATATTGTATCATTAACTATGCTGCAGAATCACATGTACTTTTTTGCTCCTAGAAATGACATTAGGGTTGATTTATCAGCTTTGTTGGCTGATGGCAATATAACTATTCCATTTCACCATTATAAATGAAACAGAATAGTTTCAACATTGTATTCAGGGTTTTTTTTAATGGATTACACATGTTGACCAAAAATATATCTTGACTATAGCGGATGGGAGATGTATAAAATCCCATTCAAGGATAAAATAACTTGACTTTTGCATATATTTAGTTATGAACTTGGAGTTTTCAAAGAATGAAGTTGAAAGGAATTACCTCCAAGCTGAGAATCAACCCTTGAATTAGTATCTGGCATGTTGGAGTAGCCAGCAAAAATGCTATCACCCATATCTGCCTTTGGCTGCATTAAGAAGCCAACTTCATTTCCCAGAGTGCCCTAATACAGTGTCAGCATTATTGTGGAAAATTAAAGTAGCCACTCCTACTGATGGCCATTTGCACTTCCCACAATGCTCTAAAGAGATGCTTTGTGTGAATGTATGAATGATGCAGCCTCCAACAGATTGGAACATGCAATTAAGCAATGGCATTGACATTTTAATTCCTTTTAGATACCTTAAAGGGAGAAAAACAGAAAATGAAGCTTTTGAGTCTACATGCAAATGAACTGTTAATTTTATGAGCTAGTTATTATTTGTTTAAAATCACTTAGAGTTTATTTTGTTTTCTTGGTAGTGTTCATTTGAATTTTAGATATTTATTAACAAATGGCTGAGAATGAGCAACATCTGGAAATGTTCTGGCCAGGGGCAATATAGAACTTGTACCAAGCAGCATATTCTATTTAGAGAGTAGATACTTTCTTCCACTCTTCATGCAGCATTGTGCAAAAGATAGAGAGTAACTTTCAGTATTACATGACATGTGCACTCATGCAAATATGTAAATTCCACATATGCCAATCAACTCAGAGAACTTAGCAACCCTTATGGGGGGGAACTAATCCAAGAAATTCATACTGATTCTAAAATAGACATAAAATGAACTGATCTAACTATTCACTAACTATCCAGCTGCTCTCAGTAGTAAAGCTAGAAACAAAGGAAATACCCAGCAAAGCAATTTGTCCAATGAAAACAGACTATATCTCCCCAAAGTCCATTGCATGCTTTTTTAAATGTATAAAATTTTTCGTTAACTTTATTTTCCTGTTGAATTCCAATTTAACTTAGATTAGCAGTTTTGTATGTTATATGATTAGTTTTTGCGAAAATGTAACAGGGAAAGGAGAGGTAATGGTCTTCCATTGCATGAAAGCTTTCTCTGTTTCCTTCACTGAGTTTGACACTAATTTTTGTTCCATTGAAGCTGGGGTCACTGAGTCACTGGCGCTAATGAAAGCTTTCTTTTTAATCTGCATCTTGAAACACTTCAAACTTTGCTTATGCATGTGTGAACATGGAATTTGCTATCTTGGTCTTTAAATTAGCATTTTTAAATGATGATATAACACGCAATATTAGCTTGTTAGGCTCATCTGTGTGTCTTAAAAGTATATAGTTACATTTCTTAAATTATCTTTTTGAGGCTGTATCACAGCATATTTATGGGGAGTAATACAAAGGCCAGATCAGATGGAATTGGTGAACTATAGTAGATACTGGACTCTGTACCATTCCATTGTATTGCCCAGGACTGACATGCTGTTTAGTGTAATGGTTAAGGCATCAGGTTAGAAACCAGGAGATCATGAGTTTTAGTCCGCCTTAGGTGCAAAACCAGCTGGGTGACCTTGGCCAGTCACTCTTTCTCAACCCTAGGAAGCAGGCAATGGCAAACCACTCCTGAAAAACCTTGCCAAGAAAACTTCAGGGACTAGTCCAGGCAGTTGCCAGGAGTCGACACAATGGAGAAATTTGTATAAAATTGCTCAGCTGTATGGTTTGTAAATATATGTTTAAGAAATCTATATGGCCACTCCATTTTAAGAAGTAACTCTGGGCAGCTCACAATCCAAAATAATAAACAACAGCATAAATACAAATTTTAAAAACATTATAACATAGAATGCAAAGTACAAAAGCTAACAATCCTTGTACATGTTCCTCAGTCAACACAAATATATATTTTTCATATGAAAATATTTAATAATGTCCTGCATAGCTATTCTTTGTTTAAGAAATTTTAGTAAGGGTGGAGTTTTCAGGACTTGTATTTTGACCAAAGGAATTCCTTGCAAGCTGACTTCCATAATGAAGAGTCAGTTACCTTTGTTGAATGGCTGAAAAGCAGATTAGGCAAAACATAAAAGTAATCCACAAGTATTAGTAATGTCAGGTTCCAGCCATTGATTCCCATTAAACCTGTAGCCTAATGACATATTAGTGAGACATTTTTGAAACCTTGCAATGAATCTTGATTGAATGCTAATTCTGAATAACATTCAAAATTACTGAACCAGTACAGTTGCCACTATTGGGAAATTACATCTTGGCTTAATAAATTAAAGTATAAATGAGCCTTATACTTGTACATACATCCATTCCCTTCAGTTAAATCTTCAGTTAACTGCAGTTTCCTATTTTGTCCAAACCAAGAATGACCTCAACCCTGGGTTGTTCTGAATTCAGGAACCAATTTGGAAAAGTAAGGAGTAAGAAACGGACAGTGCAGGGACAGAATCCACAAAAGGATCTTGCATATAATAGTGAGACGGTGCTTCCATGTAAATCTGTAGTTAAATATTTCAGCACACCATTTAGAATCTTCTGCTGTTTGATGTGACTCACTGGTATGCTTGGTTTGAGAATAAACGTACTTACACACATATACCATGCCTTGGATCTGATACTCACATCTGGCTGGTCTACAGAGGTATTCAGGGGTAGATATAAAACACATGGTCACAGTGAGGCAACGGCAACTGGAGTAGTTGAAAGTTCATCTGAAGTTGAAAACAACTGGGACAATATCAAAGATACAAGAGAACAACTACTGGGAACGATCTAGATTAAGGTATAGGAATCCTGGTAGTTGAAACTACAGACAGGAATCTAAAGAAACCGCTAACAGCACCTGCTTAGCTTTCTGTTCAAGACTTATCTGCAGAAACAACAGAAAACTTGAGTTCATCTGTGGCTCATTAGTTTCCATGGAACATAGTCTATTCAAAAGAAATCCCTAACTCTTGAATCCCTCCTCATGGACTTGAAGTTCAAGAAGCTCTTCAAGGTTTGGAATCTGGATTGCAGGTTCAGAAGAAACAAAAGACATTAGCACCTCTCCTGAATTCTCAATAACAGCCTAGGCAAACGTACTTTCCTGTTACCAAGGTCTTTTCATTGGTCCTCCTTTTTCACCCTTTGGAGATATATACCTGAAAGTCCATCAAGGGAATTGTGCCTCTTTTGTAACATAACAGCTAGGTTAGTAGGTCTTTCCCTAATAAAAGAGGCTCTATTAGCTCTGGATATTTGGATAAAATTGTTTTTACTTTTGATTTCAAGAAATGTGTGCTAATATAGTCCTTAAGTGCTTTTTGTATTTCGTATCCTGCTTGGGTATAACAATTCTGTAGTTTGCAAATTCTGTGCAAATTCTTGAACAAAAGTCTAAAACGAGCAAATGAATCACTGAACAAGCACATCCTTTCATACTAAAGCTTTTATTCTATGCCTCTGCTTGCAGGCCTGGAGGCAGGACCAATGGCTTTCTATGCTTGTAATAGTAGTTGCCATGTTTAGTTTTCCACAGAACTTCTGTCAGGGGCATTTTTTAAAGACAACGTGTTTGTGGCAGCAGCTATTCTTTACCTACAATGTGCTTCAGAACCATGGAACTAGTAGATTGATGTATTTGGAGAAGATAACTATGGCAGTCAGATGTAGGGGCACTGAGATAGGGCCTTAGCTAGCCTACACATTAACAGTAAATGGCAAGGGTACTGGCTGCCTAAGGATGCTGAATGGTACTATTTGGATTATTTGTCATCCTTAAAAAAAAAAAAAGGTATAGGAATTATTAATAGAGGAACATGACATCTCCCCCTCCACCCCCCACAACAGTACCAAATAATGTTTCTCTATAAGACTCATTAAAAAAAAAAAAAAAAGTTGCCCCAAAAGTATATGTCCATGGACACAATATGTTATTTAAGCACATGCATCCCAGTTAAATTATTGGAAAATAAGCACCTAATTGCACTTTTAGTTTCCCTTCATTGTAATAGGATTTAATCAAACTTGAAATATTCTGGATTGATTCTCTCACTGTTTGAACTAGAAGATTAATTAGATGATGATTAGGAAATCCTGGACTGTAAATCCTGCCTAATACACATTTTGCTTGTTGTTGTAG